CTTCGGTGGATCAGTTCTTACCTGTCCAAGCGTTCTCAGGCTGTTGTGATCGGTGGCTTCAGATCTGACTTTGTGGATATAACGTCCGGTGTCCCACAGGGATCCTTGCTTGGACCTCTGTTTTACTCTGCGTACTTATATGACATCCAAGCATGTTTCAAATACTCTAAACACCTTCTATACGCAGATGACATGAAAATATACTTACGGGTCGAATCGGTGTCTGATTGTGAGCTCATACAACATGACCTTAATTCATTATACCAATACTACTCGCAGAATAAAATCAATGTGAATATATCGAAATGTCAATCTATTAGTTTCACCCGTCGCATAAACCCCATAAAGTATTGTTATAAATTTGACAACAAAGCTATAGAAAGAGTACATGTAGTTAGAGATCTTGGTGTGTTGCTGGACTCTAAATTGCTATTCTCAGAACACATCGATAGTACAGTTGGTAAAGCCTCTCGTAGTCTTGGATTTGTAATGCGCACATGTAAACCATTCAGAAACCTTCATAGTCTCAAGATTGTGTATCTTGCTTATGTCCGCAGCACATTAGAGTATTGCAGTCCTGTCTGGTCTCCTCAATATAATATTCATATATCTCGTTTGGAGAATCTTCAGAAACGGTTTATAAAATTTTTAAATATTAAAAGCCATAAACGCCACGCATCTTACCTGACGGATTGTAAACATTACCACTTACTGCCACTTGATGACAGACGGAAGATGTTGGACATGCTCCTTTTGTATGATATCCTGCGGGGTGGGATAGACAGCAGTGATCTTTTGTCATGCGTTGAATTCTGCACGCACAGGTCTCGAACGAGACATACTCACTTGCTTAGTATACCCTCGCATCGTACGAATTATGGGAAAAATGCTGTTATGACTCGACTACCTCGCATTTACACGGAGAAGTTTGAGAGTGTGGATATATTTAATTTGTCAAAGGTATCCTTTCGTAAGTCGCTTATTCAAATACTCACTAGTGTGTGACTCTTATAGCATTATTATTTTTCTTAATTATTGCTTTATATAAATTTTTCTTGATTGTTTAATTTTATTTTATATTGTTCACTCTCCTACTTTTACCTGACGCATGCTGAAAAACTCTGTTATTGGCTTAAGTTTCCATGCCTTGTCATTATTATAGATGTAGCATTTAATAAATAAGCTGTTGAGTTTTCTGTAATTAAAATAAATAAAATAAATAAATAAATTGTTACCTAATTATGTCATGCACAGATAGCACACCATCTTTAGTCTTACCGACACAGAAATGCATTAAAATTATCATACGGGTCCTAGCGAATCGCTGAATCACGCGCATATTCATAAAGGTGAACTTTCCGCGTTTTTCCTCATAAAAAACAAATTAATCATAGTAATAGCAACAAATCCCAATATGTTTACTTGACAACAACTCTCGGTTGTCTTCGTCAACACAGCCGGCGGGCGTCGGGCGGCGAATAAAGGAAATAATGGAAATTATTCGCCGCGTCGCGACCCGCGAACGGTTATCGATGAAGGCAATTTGCCGAATAAATGGGCCGGTAATGATTGGACCCCTCCCGGCATCGGTAACCACTTTATGTGAGGTCTGTTTGCGTACTTACAAACTGCATTGTCCGTGTGCTTAAGTCGTTTGAAGATATACCAGGGTTCGTGGAATTAATTCTTTGATGATAGCTAGCTAAGAACAGGGTATTTTCAGCGTAAGTACATACTGATCAAATGCAACAGTCGTCACGTGGTCAACAGAAGAAGCATATTTAAAGATGTTAAGTTGTCCTAAAATAAATGTATTCGCCCTTTTGCTTAGTGGTGTGGTTGTATGATGATAAAAAATGTAGTTTTCATTCGTTTAATTTTCACTAAATAGTTCTCTTAATTTAGTTTAGTTGGTTATGGTTTGTCAAGAGCCAAATAAACGAAAAATAACCTCACAACAAGGTAATCATATTATTACTTTATCTTAATATCATAGACTTATGGCTATGTTGACAAGCAATACAAATCTATAAAGGCACAAACAAATAATAATTTTGGACTTTAGACGAAACCTATAATTGATTAGGCAATTATTTACTGATTGCAGTCACACGGTTGCGTAATCCATTCGTAATATATTGTGTAACACTCATAACAATACACTGAAGTTGAGTAATGTTTGGTCTCTACGAAGTATTTGTTTTCAACTGTATTTAAAACAATAATCTCCCACGTGTAGTCCATTATAGTACTTATTATCGTCATTTTCCGCGTAGAAACTAAACGATAACTTGTTGGTTGCTAGGAACATTAACTCGTGGACATTATTATCTATTCCACTTCATAAATTTTCTTTGTGATTAAAGGCAAGGGAGTTGAAAGAGTGCATGTAATTTGAATAGTTTCATTAGTGTCGATTGCGATTTGCAGTGCCTTGAAAAGTATAAACCTTTATTAAATAAGCTAGGTTTTTTGATGAACAATGATTAATGAAGTGTTGCTTTTTTCTTTCCTTGGTGATGAAAATATGTATAATTGGGTACGTCGGATTTTTTCTCTTTTCGTTACACGTCGGTGTGAGTGTCAGACGGCGGGCGCCACGTTAACGTGGCAAAATATCTTGCCGAGCGTTTTGACGTTAATTACGGAGCACGCACGCCGCGCGTCACACTTCGCCCTCTGACCAACCAACCACGGTTAATGTGTTTCCTTATTTATACACGCCGATACCTTCACGCGATGTCACACCACACCAACAAAACCAATTTTTGATATAAACCCAAATATCAGGTGTACCTTAAATTGTTATTTATTATTTCACACCCACGCATTAGTCTCTCAAACAAGTCCCCCTTTTATCGAAAAGCCATTTTAATTTGTCGAAAACTTGATGTACAACTGAGACATTCGTTTGAAACACGAAACGTCTTATAAACATTTATTACATTTACAATAATTGTAAAATACACAAGCGTGTGCATGTAATCGCTGCCGCACAATGAAAATTGAATTCCGTTTAATCTGAAGTGGATGAAATGAAATTCTCTAAACAGCGTGCTCTATCTAGGAATGGTTGGGATGCTCAGTTGCGACGACGCGACGCCTCTTATGCATTTCCTTTATTTATGTACGTTCGTACGTGTGTTTACTCATACGAACCCACATATCTAACGTTTGTTTATATACACCATTGAACAAAGAAAACCACACGAGATTAGTGCATATGGACGCTCTGTGAAACTGTTGTGATTTTTCAGTTTAAATTCACCAAAGTCCATTCCATTATGCGGTTTGGAGATGTGATATAAATTCACGAAGTTTCTACAAATAAATCCACCGCTTAAGGTAAATACAAACATACATGTGGATTGTTCAGTGATAAGAAGTAGCGATAGTAAACTGATTGATCGAGACAATTAGGTCAATTATGTTTGGCACTTCCTTGATAAAACAATTTGAAGCTTTGGCAACGAGTTATCATTAGCAATGATTATGATAACAGGAAATTATGTAAATATTTTGGAGTTTTAAATATTGTGTAAATATAAATACTCACAAGTCTGCCGCGAGATGTTTGGGCATGTATTACGAACTTATTAGCGAAATTGCTTTGAAGATGCTAAATATAAATATTATTTGATGGTGGGCGCTCCAGCTGTTCAGTAAATTAAAGGAATTCATGAATTAATAAATAAGCAGTAAACGTCGAATGACATTTCTTTAAAATATTCGGCGTTCCTACATACTTGCATAATGTAAAGAAAAAAATACAACTCTTCATTAAACATTTTCTCTTATTTTCTCGAGTGAAGGTAATATCATCAACCTTAGTTACAGAGGTTTTTCCGTACAATTATAAACGATGTTCTTGGTAACTAGTGGCATTTCTAGTTAAATAATACATAACACTGGATAAACCGTTTTCGTTTCACAACTAAACGTGAAAAAAATTAGCAAAACGTAATACATACTTTCGTAAAGATTGTTATATCAAAGCCGCTGTTTCAATTTTGTAGGTACGATTTATCTCATTAATCTTAATTTTTTCCACCGACTCCAGCACAGAAGAATGTGTATCGTTTGCGATTCCGGAAAAATGCCCTGTCAACGACCGACCACCCGATATAGTTCGGACCCGTTATATTAGCCGAGTGATCGACCTGGACTCCTGCCACGATCCCGGCGCCCCAGCTAATTATAAACACTCGCTTATAGAATAAACAATTCCATGCTAATCGTACGAAGGAATAAAATTGCTTACACCAATGCGAGAATCACACAATTAATGAGCTGTTGGAAGCTACTTTATATCGCGGATGACGCGCTAATTGCTACAATTCCAATACATTGACTTGTTAAGGCTGCCGAGGTCGATAACATAAATATACATTCCTTCCACCGAGTAAATATTTTCTTTAGATATATTTTATTTTAGTAACAGAATTATTATCACATCCGACACATCTGTCCTTAATCTGAAAAACGTAATGTCCCCATTTTCCGAAGAGACAGAGATTAAACGCAGCTTGTGTTTAACCGGCCTAAAGACTATTTCTATCCTGCCAAAGTTTCTTGCTCTAAGTGTGTTGACGTGAGAAATACGCGTGGAGTCCCAAAGTGGCGCATGTGGGACGCGCGTCAACTGACCAAAACAACGAGGTCGGTCTTTATTCACGTATGCGGAATCGTCTACTTGAGCTGGAGAATAGGTATCGCAGCGATAACGAGCCAGTCGTGTCCTCGCAGCCGATTATTGCGGTTGCTACATCAATATATTTGTTCTCGTACATTTAACCGCTGAAAATATAATTCGCATTAACAAGAACCTCGTCGCGCGCTTTGTGGAGTCAGGTGTCGGTTGAATATCTGCGCCTAGCCTTGCGTTTAAAACTGTCAAGGCGAGTGTGGAAGGAGTGCAACGTGTGGCTTGTAAACTGTTTAGCTTGTAAACTCGTAAGCGGTGGTGCAGTGACCCATCAGCCGTGCGTGAAGACGGTACGATGGTGCGCAAAGGGGAGAAGTCCACCGCCACCCTGCTCAGGACTCTGGCCGACACGCTCCGCTGGCAAACTCTCCGCGCCGTCACTTTGGTGCGTTCGGTAAGCAACACGCTTCAACGCATATCACTATTTAACCATAGCATTGTTTTAATTACTTAAAAACATTTATTGTGCTTAACACGTAGCAGCCACTACTGAAATAATTATCCTATAATTTTATTATTTACTATACTCACAGGTGTGAACATTGTTTGTCGTTATTCGTTATCGCGGTTTATGCTTACTTCTCGGTTTATTGACGTCACTGTATTGTGTAAAACTTGTAGGAAACTCGATTTTTATCAGATAAACGATAACTCGTATGCCGGTAATATCGATTGACGTGGAGTCAATGTTTTGACATGTGCTCACGATGCGTCCGTGTGACCATCTCGGACAGTTCACGTGCGTTTATCGGAGTCTATCGCAATCTCTGACCTCAAGGGCGGAGATCACGTTGCGTAAACAAGCGCAGTAACACCGTGCCGTATCATTCCTTACCTTCGATGCACATTTCATCATGAAACTCCGTATTTTAATCTGTACCCTAATGGATTTTACGACGATTACTTGCTTAATTTGTCGTTCCTTTGTTTATGTACGCCACAATATATTGACCACGAGTGGAATTAAATCGCTGATAAGAGTTTCTGAATGTCAATAAACATGGACAGACAACAAACAAAAGATTTTGGCACTCTGCAACGTTCATAAAAAGTTGATACACAAACCAACGAACCGATAAATTAGGTCAAATAAACGTCGAGTGCGATGCATATGTAACCTAGAACGGTGAGCGAATTGTCGCATTTTGTTTACGTACCTCTACATATGTACACATAATAGGGGGATAGGTATGTACATACGTGTATACAGGTGCGGCGTAGACATTCGGCCCGGGCCTTGCTCTGACCTAGTTAAAGCCACTTCTTATCTATTCTACTAGATACAGTCTAGATTGATCAGTCTGCAAGGGACTGCTTCTTTCCTAGTTATGTCCTGAAAAATGGTGGTTAAAAACTGATTGGTGTTTGAGGAGGTTGCAGCTTCTTCTGTTATTTCACGTTTACCTGAAATTAGTTTGATCAGATAACATTTTTGTTTATTTATATATGGGCAATGTAATTAGCTTAGTTTTAGAACTGATCAACTGAATAAAATCAGTAAGCTACCATGGATTAGACATGGATTTTGCGTAAGATTGAATGCATCCAAGAGTGTCTCTTAGCTTTTTGCATAGCGATACCTATTTGTGAAATGGATAAAACATTCCCTAACATATTTATGTATGTAAACACGGCCTTCACATGTGAACTAGGACAGTGAATACGATAACAACTGAAGTTATAGAACATATTCGTGCCACCTACTGGCATCATGTATTAGTCATATAAACGTGTCAGTTTCGTTGCATCAACATCGCTGCATTGCTTTATCACTTCCTACATTATGACTTGTTTGTAAAGGATTCCAACCATCTGGAATACCATTACGACTAATCAAATAATAAGGCTGTCTCACTCGTAACACTGACTCATATAAAGAAAAAACTTTATACACTATGACCTTTACCATTAAAGAAGCGCGTACAGCTAATAAGATTTGACACAGTCTGTCTGTAAGTATGCTTTGCATTATGATCATCACCATTAGTCGGCATTCTCTTCGTTGGGATGGGACTCAGCTGTTGTGGCGGCGTCTGGGTGCTATTAATAAAGCTGTTAGGATAGTCACATACCAGCCGACTCCTGTCTAGCGTCTAGTTAGACTGTAGGGAAATTTTGGAACTGACTTTTAAGTATTTATGACTTTAGATGGATGCTTTTTTGAGTAACATTTTGAATGTTCTGCATTTATACTTTGGGGGTTTAGAATAAGTCTTGTAGAATAGAGATCTCTCCGTAGAAGGTTTTAACTTTTATAGAGACCAATTTCGTCGTCAATAATGAACTTTACAAAAACGTTCATTAATGTGAATTAGTAACATATCTAAAAAGCATAATGATGAACAGTAAACAAAGAAACATTAATCAGTACTCAAGTCATATTTTTCTGTAACCACCGGTAGTGGTACGGAAATAAATTCTCTCCCAAGAGAGGTCGACTCCACAGCATCACTAAAGATTCGTGGTAACATTAATATTTAAACAACGACAACATGCGTCAACAATAAAAATTACCTTCGCAACTTCGCTTTGTTTAAAAAGGATAAAATGCTTGATATATTCATGTGTTGCATCCTTCCGGCGTGCATGGGCCGTAAAGTACGCTTTAAATGATCCTACACGGTATTGTGCCCAGGCGCTCGTGCCCCGAGAATTTGTTAACCGTTACCTCATCCACCCTCCGCAATTTGTTGTTATTCAGACTCTTTATTAAGCCTACGTAAAAATATTAAGTGGTAGGTGGCATTTGATGAATATTTTCTGTGGTTCTTGAGAACACCCACCATCTTTAATATCAGTGTGGGAGGGAAATTATTAAGGTGGTTCCCGCTGATATATTAACCAATTTCATACTTAATCTTTAATCCAGAAATATTTATATTATTCGTACAAAATAAATTTGCAATAATTTATTTCGATAGTCGGTCGTTCTTATAATGGACGTTAGGAATGCTGTGAACTTTCGACTGTAAACTTTATTTAATCTTTGTTCTCTTTCTTACTAAATTGTCGCTTTTAAATTTGTTTCTAAACTTCATTTACAACTTCCGAGATTTTCTCGCTGTACAATACATAAATCTGACTTTCTTGTTATGTAATTCGGAGGTCGGAATCTGTAATGTTTCAACTAAATAGTTAGTGACAACTTTCTGTATTTCTGTTGTACACAAGATCGTTAGTTGGATGTAGAATGTAAATAACCAATTCATTTCATTTGTTTAGACATTCGTATGAGTTTTTAAGAAAATCGGAGTCGTTCCTTCCGATACAAAAAAGAGCGTACAAAATAGCTTAAAGCTGTATAAAATTGCAGCTGCAGTGTGTGTGCACGGTTGATCAGTGTTCGGTTCGTTATCGTGGCGGGCAGCAATACATTGGATCGGGAGCGCAGCGGAGTCTAGTCGACGTCGGCGGCGGCGTGCCGTATCGCCGGAGCCGCCATCCGCAGAGATGACTATGCTCGCTCTCATTCATTAGAGGGGCGGGAGGGCCGGGGCGCAAGACGTCGCGCGCCGCCCGACGATATCGATTTTGTCCCACTCTCCCCCCCGCGCCCGGCACACACCCCCGCACTCAGCATCCGACCTCGAGTGCTCTCCTCTCGCGCCTACCGAACACCTACGACAGAAACTACGCCTTAACGACATGACGCCACAGCTCAAAATTCCAATCCCTGACGCCAGCCTGACGTCCTCCCGCCGATCCCTAATGGACCCTCCGGCCGAAAGTCACTCGGTCGAGATTACAACGACGCCTCCGCCGTCCACGCCGTTGGAAAAAATAAGCTTTTTGTTACAATTAAAATGGTAAATCAAACCAATTTTAGTAATTGCGAGGTCAAACTTTGAAGTGGTGGCGCGCGCTGAGGGCGGGCTTTTTAAACGCGTATGATTTTTAATGGGCGCTCTTGTTCTTGCATAGTTGTATGTTGGACTGTCGGAAAATGACATCTAATGAGGAATGTCAAACTTCGATGCGACAATAGACAACTTGTGATTTAATTATTAGTTCCAATACCTCGATAGATGGACTTGAAATTCACAACTGTTTGTTACCATTGCACAGTCTGAACTTGGAGTCTCTCACGAGTGTTCAAACTTGGCGGCATAACCGAAGGTTTATATATATTCCGAAATCTTCTGAATATTTGTCACTTGTTTGTATCTGGTACCAAACTAAATATGATTTTAATTAATTGCTTTGATCCACAATAATGGCAGATTGTCATTCACATAAAATGCCATTAATTTTTATTACAAAATGAAAACAACATAATAAACACCTTTAACCAATATTTTAATATTACACCATACAAATAACATTATAGAGTCAGAAAGTTCACTAGCCAACATTTGCACCAACAATTAAGGAACATTATAACAAGAACACTACATTTCCATATCCACGTGTTCCAGTGTCACTGGAATACTACGTAACATAATCTAGAAAAATGCATTCTATTCTAGTCCAAGCTATTTGCGTTACAACCTTTATGGACGTAGACCGCCCACATAAACCGATGTGCACATTAAAACATTTCTGCAGATATAAAAAATATTCAACAATCTTACTATTTAGTTCACTGATCTCTGATCTATAAGATAACAGTACTCAAGTTGTGGTAGGTCCCGAGATTATGCATCGTTTTCATAGCTAATCACCGTTTAATACTGACATTATACAAGATGGCAATATAAATGGCTTATTACGGCTTTATAAACGTAAAGGTGCATCTGGCTATTGAATAAGTGAATTGCACAAAATTGTCAGAGCAAGTAACTCTGGTTAAGATAATGATGATGTTAAGTTTTATGCATGTTTTATTAAAGCATTTTCATAAAATACCCGTTAATATTTAAAGTTATTCAGTGTTCAGCTGTTTGTGGAATGTCGACTCTTGCGCAGCGTTTTAAAGGATATTCTTTTCATACGCGACGCGTCAGCAATAATTTTTTAATTTTGAATCTTATTTTAATAAGTCACATGTAATTTAAAAAGCAAGCTCAATATGCTTTAAGAAACTTTGTTTAAAATAATAAAACAGTCACAATAGAACATAACAATCCAACCGCTGCTTTGCCAGTATCGTTCAGGAAGTATATCTAAATTAAAACATTGCAAAAAGCTTGAAAAAAAAATAACCCGTCGCGGACACGAAATTACTTTCATCGCGGGAGATCAAACAGTCTCTCAAGGCTGTATAAAAACAGATTTACAACACATGAGCCGCAGATTATGCGTTGGATCGGATCATAAAAAATTACGTCATCGAATCGAATGCATTCCGTTGCAAAGTGCATTTGGAATAACGTTGCTGTGACAGTTTTATTATTTGTAACTATTAATATATGAAAGCTACTGTTGCTAGGTGTTCTAAATACAACAAGAATGATTCATACCTCTGTTCCTAACTTAACATTTCGGTTGATTTCAATTTAACAGGTATAATTTATCTAACAAGAGTTGTGTTAAGGTACACGTAATTGCTTGCTATTACAATCATAATGTCCTTACACCCACGCTAACATCCCTCGAGAGG